GGTCCGGGGAGGGCGGCTGCCGAAGAGCTGTCCGCCGCGTCGCCGGCCCCTGCAGGTCCGCTTTACCGCCCAAGGCCGGGCTCGCTCCCCGCGAACGGCCCAGACCCCGACCGGCCTGCGGCCCCTCCCTAGGTGGTCTTGGTCGCGCGTGCACCTTACGGACGATGTGTGTTATGCGTGTCTGTGTACACACATACGATGTGTGTTATGCGTGTCTGTGTACACACATACGATGTGTGTTATGCGTGTCTGTACACACACGGTATGTTAGGTGTGTCAATGTACACATGCGATATGTTATGCGTGTCTGTGTACACACACGATATGTGTTAGGTGTGTTTTCATAATTAGCGTGTGTGGAGCCCAGGATCTGTCATCTAGATGCCGGTCTGGTAGCCACACAGGCCGCCCTGCTGCTCAAACCTGTTCCTCCTCCCAGCCCTCCTCCTCTTTGTGGCCTCACACTTCAAACCTCTGGTCTACGATTGTCCTCCAGTTTCTTCTACTTATTTTTGGTCAGCTTCCTTTTTCTAAATTAGCAACTATTCGTTGTACAACAGGGGTTTCATGGTGATCATGCATGGGTGTTTGCAGTGTATCCTGAGCACATGCGCCTCTCCAGCTCACTAGGGCTCAGTTCTGCTCCCACGCATAGCGAGTAGTTTGACCCTGTCCATCCGCATTTGCTGGGCTTCACTTCCCGCCTTGCGTTTGTCTCACAAGTTCAGTCCCGCAAGCAGCTGCCCTTGGCTCTCAGGCCAAAGCTTCCTGACCCAGGCTGGTTTCTGATGCTCTGTCTTCTCTGACTGGAGTGTCTCCTGTTAACCGCGCTGCTCAGCTCTCTCCACACATTTATCCATTGTGAGCCCAGAAACCAGAGCCACTTTTTAACTAAATTACCTAATACTCTGCTGTCTGCAAAGTGGTATCAGTGACAAAGTATGAAAACACAGTATGCAATGTTACCTCACCACTCACCTTAAGAGACTAGTTGGTACTCCCAAAACTGGCACAGCTGCCCTGTGGCTCTGCCCTACACCCTCCTTCCACAGGTTCCACCACCTGAGTGCTAGCTTTCATGCTTGCACTTAAATATGCAAAACAAAGCCAGGTGCTGGTGGCTTATGCCCGTGTTCTAGCTACCCAGGTGGCTGAGAGCTGAGGATTACAGTTCAAAGCCATCCAGGGCAAGAAAGTCCATGAGACTCAACTCCAATTAAACACCAGAAAACAGGAAATGGAGATGTGGCTCAAAGTGGTAGACCCGTAGCTTTGAGCAAAAGAGCTCAGGGACAGTGCCCAGGCCCTGAGTTCAAGCCCCACAACTGACCAAAAAAAGCAAAGAAAAAAATCCCCAAATAAAAAGGCCACATATTGCTAGAGCACATGTAGTTTATATTGCCTTTTTTTCCCAAAAAATTCATGTCACACTTGTGACTCTAACTTGGTTTTTCATTTGTTGATTTTTTGGTTGCCATTAACATAGTTTCATGACAATTTTCCATGTGATTGTCTGTGGCTTCATTTAATTGCTTAAGTTTTGTGTGTAATATATGACTATAGCCCTTCTCAAATCCAGGCATCTCTGAAACCAAAAGTAGTTTTCAACCTATTTGGTGGCAAAGTTTAATGGCCTTCCTTGCACTTAATGTGAATACACACGGTTCATTGAAGAAACAACCTGGCTGTGGGGTGCTTCCCAGAATGCTGTGTAAGGTGTCATAAACTATTAGTAAGTTGTACCATGTCGTCTGTGCATAATCTGTGATGTTCTAAATTCCAGAATACACCTGCCTGAGGGTTTTTGGACATGGGTTATACCCCAGTTCCTTTGTACATGGTCCTGTTAGATGAACATTGGTTGGGTAGATTTCACATTTGTCATTTTGAACAGTGCTTCTGTGAACAGTTGTCTTTGATGTATGATGTTTTTATGTATGATTTAGGTATAGCAGGAATAGATTTGCCAGTTGTAAGGGACACCATTGGCAGTTTTACAAGGAATGTGCAATTATTTACACCATTATTGGTCTGTTGACACTAGAGTAAAAATTTTCAAGAGAACACCATGCTTTTGTTAACTCTTGGCCTTGTCACTTTCAGTTTTTTGTCAGACTATTGGTATGAGATTGTAGTCTACTGTGTGTGTGTGTGTATGCGTGCGTGCCTGCGAATGCACATCAGTATTGGGGCTTGAACTCAGGGCCTGGATGCTGTTCCTGAGCTTTTTGGCTCAAGGCTACTGTTCTACCACTTGAACCACAACTCCACTTCCAGCATCCTACTTGGGCTGACATTGAACCACAATCCTCAGGTTTCAGTCTCCTGAGTAGCCAGGATTACAGGCATGAGCTCTGGCGCCCAGCATTGTAGTCTCCTTTTTAATACATATATTATAGCACATAATTTTTTAGTGTCTTAACTGCAGTGGCTGTCCTTTGTACTTTGTGGGAAATCTAACCAAATCCCTCAACTCTTAAGGCCTTTATGGATCTGATGACAAGACCTCTTAATTCTGAGAGAGTTGTTGCATTCATGCTAGTTGTTTCTAAATGTATCATTTTTCTTGCTGTTTCCCAAACATTCATTTGGGTCTTACACTGTTATCAAGATTGAATGTATCTCCTGTCAGGGTGCTGGTGGCTCACACCTATAAATCTAGCTACTCAGGAGACTGAGACCTGAGAATCTCAGTTCAAAGCCTACCCAGAATGGTGAGTCCATGAGACTAATTAACCACCAAAAAGCCAAATTGGAACTAGGGCTCAAAGTGGTAGAACTCTAGCCATGAGCACACACACACAAAAAAATCTCAGGGCCCTGAGTTCAAGCCCCACAACCAACCGATAAAAAAGGGGAGGGTGTCTTACTGCTCTTTACTTCTTAATTCGTTGCTATGTATTTTCTGAAATAATCATAATGGGCATAGACTTCACCTATTATTCAAGTATTTTTTTCTGTAGAAATAAATCAGAATGAGTTATGCAGAAAAACCCGATGAAATAACGAAAGATGAATGGATGGAAAAGCTCAATAACTTACATGTTCAACGAGCAGACATGAATCGTCTCATCATGAACTACCTAGTCACAGGTAATGACTGGCTCTGAGCACATGACCAGTTGAATATAGTTCTCCCTTTTTGTTCAAGTAAAGTTTGAGCCATGAAGCTCAATGGTAAAGTTATGTTGTATTCAGACATTATAAAACCACAATGAGCCAGGCACTGGTGTGGCTCACACCTGTAATCCTAATTACTTAGGAGGCTGAGATATGATGGCTGAGATATCATGGTTCAAAGCTAGCCTGGGCAGAAAAGTCTATGAGACTCTTATCTCCAGTAAACCACCAGAAAACCAGAAGTGGCACTGTGGTAGATGTTAGCCTTGAGCTGAAGAGCTGAAGCGCCCCAGCCCAGAGTTCAAGCCCCACAACCAACAACGAAAGAGCTAGGGTATAGACTGAGGGAAAGTATTTGTATCTAGAATATTATATATTATAATATTACTAGTGTTTGTATGGCCATCTGTAAAAATTATGTTATATGGAGATAGGATCATTATTCTAGGCCTGGACCTTAGGGGGAAAAAACCTGTTTTTTTGGCCTTTAATGGGTTTTGTTGTTTTGTTTTGGTAGTACTAGGAATAGAATCCAGTGCTTTGTGCCTGCTATGTAAGCACTCTACAATATTTTCTGACTTGGAGAGGGTATTTTTGAGTCTGAGGCTAACCGGGGCTGATAGCAAGACTCTTGTCTCAAAAAATAAACATTTGTTTTAAAAATGTTCTGAAGTAGATTTAAATTGATGTCCTTGACCATCTGGTGAAGTGTACTGGCCTGTTTCTAGAAGTCCTGTTCCCAACTTAAAAGAGCAAAGGGAGATGTGGAGGAGTGTACACTTGGATCCTCCTCCTGTTGGGAAGAAGACCCAGGCTAGCTGGGGAGAGGACATCCCTAGTGAAACAGAATGAGATGTTGTCTTCCTGTTCATCTGTAGTGTCCCCTCCCTCCCAAATTAATCTCTCCTAACATTTCTTAGAAAGCTGACAAGATCTAGGCTTTCATGTGGTTTGCTTTCATGTTGGAGAGGATTGCAGGCTCTTGCTAAGAGCGGGAGCCAGTGTAGAAGTTCAGCAGTCCCACGGAGGCACCGCACTGCCTGCCTCACCTGGAGCCGACATCCTGACCTAATCCCAGCCTTTACGGGGCCAGCCACACAGTGGGTGCTCCAGTACTCAGTCTAAGCTCTGGGCTGGTAGGTTTGGGCTTTGGAAATGGGACAAAAGGAATGAAATATTGTCCTGTCATTTCTGTGTTTCTAGAGCTTAACCTATAAGTGTCACAGAGATAGTAGTATGAAGTCCCTAAAACTAGCTCATACTAAGAATTATTTAGTTGTTTTTTTTTTTTTGTGCTTTGTAAAGATAGAAAGCAGATGGGCGCTGGTGGCTCACCCTGTCATCCTAGCTACTCAGGAGGCTGAGCTCTGAGGATCACGGTTCAAAGCCAGCCGGGGCAAGGAAAGTCTATGGGACTCTTTTGTTTTCTGTTTTTGTTGTTGATCGTGGGGCTTGAGCTCTGGGCCGGGGCACTGTCTCTCAGCTCTTCAGCTCAAGGCTAGCACTTTACCACTTGAGCTGTAGCACCACTTCCAGCTTTTTCCTGCTTATGTGGTGTTGAGGAATCCAACCCAGGGCCTCATGCATGCAAGGCAAGCACTCTACCACTTGAGCCATCTTCCCAGCCCCTCTGTGAGACTCTTATCTCCAATTAAGCACTAGAAAACTGGAAGTGGTGCTGTGGCTCAAGTGGTAAAGCACTTACCTTGAGCTGAAGAGTTCAGGGACAACACCCAAGCCCAGAGTTCAAGCCCTACAACCAACAAAAATACATACATCATACATACATACATAGAGAAAGCCTTTGATAATCCCTGCTGTGTTTCCTAGTGGTGAAGATGGCTTTCTTTTCAGAGGGTTTCAAGGAAGCAGCAGAGAAGTTTCGAATGGAATCTGGGATTGAACCAAGTGTGGATTTAGAAACCCTTGATGAACGAATTAAGATTCGGGAGATGATTCTGAAGGGTCAGATTCAGGAGGCCATCGCCCTGATCAACAGCCTCCACCCAGAGCTCTTGGACACAAACCGGTATCTTTATTTTCATCTTCAGGTGCGTTGTAGGGTGCCCAGCAAGCTCAGATTGCTTAGGATGACTCAAATAAGTGGGCTGTTTCTCTGACTTAATTGATAAAATGTTGGTTTGGTTTATATGGAAATGAAGTTTGAGTTAGCTGCTATTTTATGTATTTCAGAAGCTATGTTTTGCTTTTAAGATGAAAATTTAATAACTCAAGTGCTACAAGATAGTATCTCCTTTGATTCCTTTGATCTCTCTGTCTCTGTGATACAGGGGATCGAACCCCAGGCTTTGCATGCTTGCTCTTAATATCAAGCTGTATTCCTAGACCCGTTACTTTTGTTGTTCTTCTAGGTATATACCAGCCAACCAGTCAGTCTTTATCATTAACCATGACAAGTGTTACTTGCCAAGAGTGTGTTGGCTAAACTTGCCTGTCTTTTCCAATAACCAGCAACAGCATTTGATCGAGCTGATCCGCCAGCGGGAGACTGAAGCAGCGCTGGAGTTCGCCCAGACGCAGCTGGCAGAGCAGGGCGAGGAAAGCAGAGAGTGCCTCACAGAGATGGAGCGCACGCTGGCCCTGCTGGCCTTTGATAGCCCTGAGGAGTCACCCTTTGGAGACCTCCTTCACATGATGCAGAGGCAAAAGGTAGGGGCTAGTGGTGTGTGCGCCCCATCCGTGGTGTGGGGAGAGACAGATGACCCTGGGCTTACGGACTCCAGTTTAAAGTTTGACTTCTTTCTTTCTTTCTTTCTTTCTTTCTTTCTTTCTTTCTTTCTTTCTTTCTTTCTTTCTTTCTCTCTCTCTCTCTCTCTCTCTCTCTCTCTTTCTTTCTTTCTTTCTTTCTTTTCTCAGCATCTTGTGTTGCTAGGAGTGCAAGCATAAATCACCCGTGCCCAGCCTAAGATATGATTTTTCAATTGCTGCAATACATTTTTGTACATGTATTTTAAAAAAAATAGCTGTTTAGTTTAAAATCTTCATTTAGAAGATTTAATGTTTGGGCTTATTCGTGACAGTTTTTATTAGTTGGTGTGTAATATATATGAGCCATACTCTATTTGTCACTATATATGTGAACTTTGCTATTTTTGTGTGCCAATACTAAGGCTTAAATTCAGGACGTGGGTGCTGTCCCTTAGTTTTTTTTTTGCCTAAGACTAGTGTGCTACCACTTGAGCCACAAATCCACTTCTAGCTTTTTTAGTGGTTAATTGGAAATAAGAGTCTCAGACTTTCCTGCTTAGGCTGGCCCAAACCCCTTTGCAAGCTTTTCTTAGCTTTCTTCCTGTTTTTATTTAGAAACTCTTTTGTGTCTTAGAAACAGTGTCCTAAATTTTTAATTTAAAATCCATACTTCCAAAGCTGGGTGCCAGTGGCTCATGCCACTGTATCCTAGCTACTCAGGAGACTGAGGTCCCTATTCAAAGCCAGCCGAGGCAGACAAATCCAAGGCGCTCTTATCTCCAGTTAACTAGCAAGAAGCCAGAAGTGGATGTATGGCTCAAGCAGTAGAGTGCTAGCCTTGAGTGGAACAAGCAAGAGCAAGAATTCAAGCCTCAGTACTGCCACACAATAAAAGAAAAATACATTTCTTCAACTTTGCTCTTCTAATCGCCGACTCCCCTCCTCCTGGAGCTCTGTCTTCCCAACACCACATCTGGAAGCCCACCGGTCCTCGGAGGTCCGCTGAGATGTTCCCATCTGGTTTGTTTGGGGGAAGCTCACATGGCCCACTGCGCTGCTCCTGCAGTGCTGCATTCAGGGCTCCCCAGGAGGATGGGAGGGGCCGGCCAGACTGTGGAAGCTGCTCCCAGCAAGAACTGTTGACTGACTTCAGCGTGGTTAGTGACCGACGTCAGTGCACATTTAAGGGAGCAGCAGGCTTCTCATGTAAAAAGGGCATCCAAGTACACACACTGCAACTTGCTGAGACAGTTCGCTGGTAGGTGACCTGTGTGGTTGTCTTTATGAGATGTATTTGTTTTCCAGGTATGGAGCGAAGTGAACCAAGCTGTTCTAGATTATGAAAACCGTGAGTCCACACCTAAGCTGGCAAAATTACTGAAACTGCTGCTTTGGGCTCAGAATGAGTTGGACCAGAAGAAAGTAAAATATCCCAAAATGACAGACCTCAGCAAAGGTGTGATTGAGGAACCCAAGTAGAGCCTGTGCATGGACCCCAGCAGTCTCCGGCACCGGATCCGCCTTCTGGGGCCACACCTGACAGATGCTCACTGCAGTAGAGAACCTCTCTCCCCTTGTGCTTCATTTTGTTTTTGACCCAGCATCTTTTAGAAGGGGGAAAGCAGCCCTTTTAAATGCTGGCAAACCCACGGCGAAGGACACTGGCTCTTTGGAAGTGTGACGCCGTCGGTGCACTGACACACCCTGAGGAGTTCCACACGCCGCCCTTGCTGTTGTAGTGTGCCTGGTGTTTCTGGTGTTTCTGCTCACTATGGAATGCTGCACTGTTCGGGAACGTCCGTCAGACTTAAGGCCTCCCACCCAAAGCATATGAAAAGCACTGATCAATCTTTTGCTTTCTGTTAGCTTGTAGACAGACTGTGTTTTCTTAAATCTCTCTAAGACATGTCAAGCATTCATCTTGAAGTTTTTCCTTACCCTCTTGCTTTTGTTTTGTGTCCTCCCCCTCCCCTTTTTTTTTCCTATAGGAAAGAATATAAATTTGTAAATCCTAATTCAAAGACAACTTGTGTGTGCAGGTATTGAGTTGGTTTGTTCGTGCCTTTTGGTTTGGATTGTATGGCTTTGGGGGCAATGTGTGTATGAGGGGCAGGCTGTGTGGTTTTGTTTTTTAAATACATATTTTGGTGCTGTCTGTGATGAGAATATTCATAGCAGACCAGTGGGCCATCTCTTACAGGTAATTTTATTGAAAATAAAGATTTCTCTTTGATTCTAAGAACAGCCTGTGAAAAGTTCTCATCATCTCAAGCAGCCTTTGGTTTTGGTGGGCTTTCCTGTGCTGACCCAGTGATTTCAGCTGCAGGGTGACTTAGGCCAGTCTGCGTGTTAGTGGTTGCTCTGCATGACCGCGGAGCAACCCCGGGTGCTGGTGGGGACGGGCTGAGACAGTTTCATGCAAGGCCTGTTCAGCCTTTCTGCCCTGCACGTGAGCTTGACAGGGCCGTTTCCCATCTCTCTTGTTGTCAGCGATGCTGCAGATGTCCTGCTCTTTTCTGTTGTTAGTTGCGGGTGGGAGGAAAGCAGTCCCGAGGTGTGGCTTGACAGCAGGTCACTGCCTGAGCGATGGGCGTGTGCACATGTAGGTCAGGGCGGAGGTGTGTGTGGAGGCCAGGCTGGAGCAGGGCCCTCTGGTGAGTCTGGTGGGGCCGTGAACAGTGCAGATGCCATCCTCCGTGGGAGCACCCACCTGCCTCCCTGCTTGGCCCGCCTCCCGGACAGGCACCAGGCGTTCTGGCATGGCATCAGCAGCTGACCTGGGCGACTGCTTGCCTTGTTGGGGAGCTGACTAGCTAGGTCGCAGTGGAGTTTGACTGTTCACTAGCTAATACCTGAGCTGCTTAGTTGACGGCTAATTGGCTTCCTGTCACGCTTCTCCTCGTGTCTGCTTTCTGTGTGGAGGCACTACTGGGGTTAGAACCTTGTGCTAGCTAGGCAAGCGCTTGAGCCATGCCTCCAGCCTTGATGCTTTTTGGTGCCAGTACTGAGGCTTGGACTCAGGACTTGGGCGCTGTTCCTTAGCTTTATTGCTCAAGGCTGCACTCTACTACTTGAGCCACAGCTCCACTTGCAGCTTTTTGGTGGTTAAGTTGGAGATAACAGGCTTTCCTGCCTGGACTGGTTTTGAACTGCGAACCTCAGATCTCAGACTCCTAAGTAGCCAGAATTACAGAGGTGAGCCAGAGACATTCAGCTGGCCGTTTATGCTTTTGTCATCTTTTGAATATTTCATGTGTGTGCCATGCCAGCCTGGCCCTGAGTCCTCCTGTTTACCCTTTCTACATAGCTAGGGTGATAGACACGTGTCACACTCAATTTTTATTGGTTATGGGGGCGGGGTGGGGGGCTGGAGGTGTCTCGCTTTTTGCCTGGTTTGGTCTCGGTCCATGATCAAGTCTCTGCTCCCCAGGGACTAGGATTCCAGGTGAGTCACTGGACCCAGTGTGTTCCCGCCATCTTGCTCCTTCAGCCTCTTACCTGCTCTTCTCCCATAGGACTTATTTCCGCGCCCCTTGGCGCCCAGTGAGGCATCCTCAGCTCTGGCTTTAGTCAGTAGGCGCCTTGGCAGTGTTCACGCTTACCTAGAGTTAGTAAGAGATGCAAAGATGTCACGGGCATCAGGTAGCCACTCCGGCCCTCTGAGTGACGCTTCGCTACCCTTGCCATCCACAAGGATGGTGTTGGTAGTCACCCCTTACCTCTGGGCAGAGTAGGTTTCTGCAGCCATCTTCAGCTGTGGTCTTTTTTTTCGGGTGGGGGGTGTCTTTCCTTCCTTAGATTTGAAGATAAAACTAAGATAGACAATAAGGGAGTTTTACTCTTCAAGTAGTTAATAATTTACATGTAGCAGAAGTTGGGAAGAGATAAAGATAAACTACAATTTTTTGAAAAGCATCAGATAACGCATATTATCTTATTAGTGTATATAAGATCATTTGCATAGGTACTAGTGTATAATCCATTTGACATGTTCTCACCACTAAAGGTGTGAGAGACAGTACCGGGAAGTCCTGTCTACAAGGATTATCCACAGACAGACAGGATATGAATGGGGCTCCTACGCATGCAGTGTTAAGTGGTTATACGACAGTGTTGCGATTTCATTTGCAATTCAATCAGTGGAGCTAACTCAGCCAATGCTGTGATCCATAAAGATCAGCAAGACTGGTCTCTTCCCATGATCCGCTGGCGGACGAGACATGGGTCCCGGACCTTCTGGAGGTGCTCCGCGTGTTCTTCCCGTGCTGTCTTCACTGGGGCCAGCAAACCAAGTTAGTAAGCTTCCCGGGGGTGGCGGGCTTCAGCACGGCTTCCTCCTTTGCCTCCTTTGGGTCTCACTCTGGTGATTATTGAAATGTGGTTGTATTGTACAGATTAGCTTTTTCTTTTTTCATTTTTATGCCTTCTGGTGGAAAGTGCCTTGAAATAAATGAAACTTGAGAATATTCTGTACTCTTGTTTCATATCATGAAATTGTATGAGGAATAAACCCCCAGTTTGGAACTTTGTGAAGCATGGGGATCATAAGGGGACCTGATTTGTTTGCCACTTGAATTAAGGTTAGTAGGTTCTAGCAAAGGCAGGTGTTGACTGGACTAATGTTTGAGACCAAAGTCTGTGTTGGTACATAGCTGAGCGCCAGTGACCCTGTGTGCACAGAAATAGCAAATGGGTGTCCATTGCTGTAGGGGAACGGAGACGGTCTTCGTAAGGCAATGTGATGTCTTTATTGTCTTTCTTCTTCCTGTGTGCTGGTAGTTTGGAGAGTGAGAGAGCCGGTGTTCCAGAAGGATCTTTACACATTTGACGACGCACACACTGGCATCCCGGAGATAAGGGAGCAGGCGTCCCTTCTAGGGCTGTGCAGTTTTAGTGTGAACAGAAGACCAAATTGAGAGCCTCTGCGGTGTTCTGCAGATGTGTCCCTGCCATTGTAGATGAGGAATGGTGTGCGTGGGTACTGCGGTGCGGGTGCTGGCTCTGGTCACAGCCTTCACTCCCTGCCACCTGGGTGACCCCGGAGTGTACACCGTTTCTTACCACGGGTATATTTGGTTCAGAAACATGTATTGCTTTTTCAGATGTATAAGTTGTATTGTTAGCAGTAGTCATATAAATTCCTGTATAAATTCATAGCATACTAGAGTACTGTTGTACACATTGGACTCTGTAATTCTTTATTCTGGGGAGAGATTTGTGCTTCCTGACCCCCCATCTATCTTTTGAGAAATGCAGAATAGGTTGCTTTTGCCTGTTCTTAATTTGATAGTAAAAGTTTTCACATTTTCCCAGAATGGTCATCTGAAAGTTCATTTTCTTTTCATAAAGATAAGTTGACAAGAACAAGGAAATACTACGCAAACATAGATAGAAACTTGTGTTTCACTTAACTACACTTTGGTTTTGATCAGCTTCCATTCCAACAGTACTTGATCTTTTAACGGGAAAATTTCAACTATATCATAAAAATAGAAGCAAGTCAGACACCAGTGGTTCATATCTGTTCTGAGAGCAGAGGATCATGGCTCAAAGCCAGCCCAAGCAAGGAAGTTGTGAATTCTTACCTCCAATTAGTAACCAAAAAATTAAATTAATTTTTTTTAAATGCTGGAAGTGGTGCTGTGGCTCAAGTGGTAGAGCACTCGCCTTGAGCTAAAGAGCTGAGGGACAGCGCCCAGGCCCATAGTTTAGGTCCCACAACTCGGGGGGAAAATTAAACAGGGAGCAGTGCCCAGCAAATGTCTGCATGGCTCTGACCTCTCTTGGAACATGGGTTGACAGGTTGCTCACCCCTGGGGATCAGGCTTCGGACATTTGTGATCTGGTCCAGCTGGCTTTTGTGGGTCAGGCAAGCTTACCTGTTAGCCAAGATTGAAAGTGGGGAGAGCCAGAGGCAAACACCCCAGCCTTAAGACCAAGTGGGATGAAACTCAGCCTTCTGCCCGCAGGCAGGCGTGCTGCCCCTGAGCCAGGGCCTCTGCCCTCCGTTCTGGCTTGCCTTTGCCCAGGTTATCTCAGCGGCAGTCCTGGCTCTCTGCTGCCACGCGGCTCCGCTTGCATCTGTGCACCACCACACCCCAGCTGGGGTTCTTGACCACTGGTGAGGTTTGGCTACAAGTGCCGTGAAGAATCCTGAGTGGAATCATGAGACATCTGCTCTCAGCACAGGGCTCCGTCTGGCTGCTGTTGAGTCTCACTCAGTTCCTTTCCCTTTATGCACATAGTCAGCATTCAGCTCAGAAAGTGTATGGAAATCATATTCAGTGCTGAATTCCCCGCCCCCCCCCCCGCCCTCGATTGTGGGGCTTGAACTCAGGGCCTGAGCGCTGTCCCTGAAGGTGAGCGCTTTACCACTTGGAGGCCACAGCGCCACTTCTAGTTTTCTGGTGGTTAATTTTAGCTAAGATCTCATGGACTTTCCTGCCCGGGCTGGCTTTGAACCATGATCCTTAGATCTCAGCCTCCTGAGTAGCTAGGATGACAGGCATGAGCCACCGGCACCTGGCTCTCCATTTCTTTTAAGAAATAATCTGTTTACATAGCCTGGAACTTCCTGGCTCTGCCAACCCACACCTTCAGATTTTATTTGTATAGTTGTTTGTCAAAAACAGTGGAGAAAAATGTCATTTTTTCAGTCCCATTTATTTGGACTTGTCATCTTAGACTCATACTCACAGAACTAAGAACGAGGCAGGGTTAAGGAACATTGGTGGTGTCAGCTGCCAGCCTTCATGAAGTGCTGAAGCCCAGGTCCTTGCTTCTCTGCCTCACACAGTCCTGAGGCTTCTTGTCACCTCAGGCAGACCTCGGGCATCCTGTGGCTCCTCCCACTAAGCTGTGCTAAGTGACAGCCCTTCTCCCTCCCTCCACCCACTGCAGAACACTAGCCCAAGAGGTGGTAGATGTCCACCACGGTGGAGCTCTGGGTTTCTGCATGAGATTGCCACGCCCCTTGTGCAGATGAGCCCAGAGTCCTTGACAGCTGTGAGCTGAACAGTTTCAGACTCCTACGCCAAGGCTGGAGCTTCCGGGAGAATCAGCACCCCCATCTTTGTGTCTCCCAAACATGTGCTGCGGATGGAGTCATGACCTTGCTTTTAGTTCCTCTCTTCCCCCCAATACTTGGTAAGCATGAACTCCTCAAATCCACAGCCAAGCCCAGGTCCCAGGACTTTGTGATCTCCATTCATTGCGTGCAAATGGAACACATGAAGGTCC